AATCCGACCGATTCCCGATCCGGAGCGCCGATTCGCCGATCCGAATCGGTTTTTGAGATGCCTGATCCGGGTCACCGATCCGCTTTTTAAACCATTGGTTAAACCCATAGGTGTGATATTGTAATTCATTCAAAAATAAATTTAAGCCCATTGTGGATAATCCGTTAAGAAAAGCTACTAACCCATTAAAACATTAAATGATAGGATAACCTCTACCATGCCAATTGTTTCAACACATTTGGAGTAACTAAAACAAAAAGAATCAAAGATGAAAATCCAAACAAATAAAACTAAAATGATAAAATCAAAATGTAAATCTACACAAATAAACTTGTATTCACATTATACTTGCTCACCTATTATACCAAAGGTGTAAGCAGCTCCCGGATCAACTTTTGGAGGGGTATGGAACCAAAACTCCCGAGAAGAAGAGTCCTTTCCGATTTTATAATTGTACTTGGTATCATACTAGATATACACAATGAAAACTTTCATCACTTAAATTTCTAATAGTCTTTGCAGAACTCAAATAAAAACTCCAAAGGCTAATAAATTATTTATTCCAAAAGAATAAGTTAATGAAGCACAAGTTTAAAAGCTTAACCAATAGCTAGCATGACATGTGGTTAGCAAAAACTGTACCAACACATGGATATAAATGCAGTTCTCCAACAAAGGAGCTTAAGATTCACAAGATTCTATATATATCGAAGAGGAATAGAAGAACCATGAGGAACATCAAGAAAATTAAGGCCACAAGGCCTACATATTGCAACTAATGTTGCAAGGACATCAGCAGGTGTTAGCCTTCGAAAACATGTAGCACTTGTCCAATAGAGTGATGCAGAAAATGTCCAACATTGCAACATGTTTGTGCATTTATTAAGTCATTGAAAACATCGATTTATCTTACAATGAAACTAACACTATGAATAACATTATCTATTGTATTTTAATATTCTAAATTGCTTTGTGTAATTATTTTTTTAAGCTCTCAATTTTTATTTTTTATTTATTTTTGCTGCTTAGGGTTGGTGAGAAAGGGAAAGAGTGTAAAGAAGGTGATCAAGAACCAATTCAGGGTCCAATAGGTACAGGGGTGCTAGAGAGAAAGGGCTATTTGTTCTGTTTAAGGAATAGGGTAGAGGCTACTTCTATAAATAAAAGATTCACTAACACTGAATACCCTTGCATCGGAGACATGGGTAAGAAGCCAGAGGGGACAAGGAGGTATCTGTATCTACTGAAAATGAGTAGCGATCATGGACAAACATGACAAGAAACTTATTTGAGGCATGGGGAGGAATATGGTCACCAAGAATCCTTAAGACATGGGGAACAGGCTCGTAGAAGCTTAAGACTGCAATGCGCAGATTATTTGAGGCATTCAACAAAAATGGGCATGGTATTGATGACAGTCCAAAAAGGAGAATAGGATTTTGAGTTTAGCAGCTTCAAATAATATCATAAAAGGGCATGGGTTTTGCTTAACCAAGGTATAGTAGGGACGTTCTATTCTCCAATCAAGATATCCCTTTTTTAAGACATTAGGCTCAAAAAACCTATAATCTAAACCAAGCTTAATTTTTTGGGAAAATTACAAACTCCACCCCCCCAAAAGTAGACATCCTAGACAACCTTCCCCCAATCAAGCTTTCTTTAGAACCTTTTACCCTTTACTTTTCACCCAAAAGTCTTTTATAACAAAATAAGGGGTCTGGCAATTTATAGAGGCGGTCTGACAATTGGGTTACGGAAAAAAAATGGGGTCCGGCACTTTATAAAGGCGGTCCAACACAAAATGTGCCTGAAAATAAGGTGTACGGCAGTTTATAAAGAGGGTCCGGCAATGGCGTTCTGGAAAAATTGCAGTCCGGTATGTCCTTTTCTTGGTCTGGAAAGTCGATGTGATTTGCCTGTGGCCTGGTACACTGACCACGGGGTCCGGCAATATGGTCACACGGTTCGGCATAGGCAATATTGGCCTCAGGCTATCTTCACATGGGTCCAACACTTTTTTCTCTCGATCCGACACTAAATGTCTGGCCCAACATAATTTCTTTTGTATGGGAAAGAGCATTTTCGTCCAAAAAAGTATGAGTTTTTTGACTTGGGGGTAATTGCAAGGAAAGTTAATTTTGGGTAAAAGTTGCGAAAAAAACTTGATTGGTGGGAGGTTGTCTAGAAAGTCTGCTTTGGGGGGGTCTTTGTAATTTTTCCTAATTTTTTTTGTGGCTGAAGATGCATGAAGATGAAGAGTTTTGTGTTCCTTTTTTGTACTGTTTGCAATTAGTGGATGTCTTAAGGCCTTTGGGAATTTCAACTAACATTTTCACTTTACCAATCAAAGTTCAAAAGGCTAAAGTTCCAAATCATTGTAAGAAATTGCTGACAACCTATATCATCTTATTCAGACAATGCAACATTATGCATGTATTATCATCATCATCCAAGCCTTATCAAAATTACATTATGCATGTATTATAAATGGTAAAAGCTACCCCATTGCATAAGAAGTTCATAAGAAATTGCCGAAGAAAACCTTTAAAGGGGATAAATTTGTTTGCATATTCCCTCATAAATAACAAAACTTGTAAAGGGTTGCCTTTTGTTAATGTACCTCAAGGCCATCAATAAGACAGTGATGAATGTAACCAGACTTATAATTGTAAAAGGTGTAGTTTGTAACTTTTCCTTCTGCATGATGATCATAGCCGTTCTCAGATGTAGCATAGAACACTTCACTGGTCCCAGGTTCAGCTGGAGTTACCCAGGAGACTATAACAGCCTTCCCATCATAATCACCTTGCGTTATATGCACCTGTGGTATAGTTTGACACTAAGATATCAGAATATGAAGGATGAATCTCATTAACAAGTAAACTTAACTTTTGGAATATGCATCAAGCAAAAAGAAACTGGGGGATATCATTATCAGCTCCGTCATTACGAAATACAACATGAGAGCTAAGAAATTTAACCTGTTACAACGATAGAGGTCAGAAAAAGGTAAATAACTTAAAAAGTTGGTTCCAGTGACTAAGGTAGAAAATAGTTAAATTTATCTTCAACTGGTTTTTGTTTCTTGACAATAACTTGGACTCATTGACAGTGACACATAACGAAAGTTTTTTCAAGGAGAAGATTTTCCATATATTTCAAATATGTACTCTACTATTAGGGCCAGTTTGGAGGCCACATTGAAAACTACTTGGTGTTGTTTTAGACCCACACAAGTAGTCAATGCAATGTACACAATGACCTATGTTACCATTTTAAAACAGCATTTAAACTGGAAGACTTGTAAAAATTGACACTTTTTACAATTGGGATGAAAACAGGCAGTAACTGTTTTTCATTCCGGAAGAAAAAGTTATGTTATGTGTGTTCTGTGGGCCACTAATTGTGCAAATGAGTCCTGCTTCCAAATAGTACAGTACCAAATTCAGGTATCTCAATAAAAGATCCCATTTGTCAGTAAAATGGCTCATGCACCAAGTACTTACTAGTAGACAGAGACATATAATATTTTGCATATATGATAGATAACTTCAGAATCACGATTTACAGGTTTGAGAAGGACTACAAGCTCTCAACAACATGAACCACAACAAAATGTAGAAATATATACCACTTTTGTTTAACAATAGGTACTGATATAAAACCTGTTCTGGAGCATTATATCCCTTTGGAATTGCAAAAGCTTCATTGTCAAGAGGGATGTCAACAGATGGCCACTCAGAGCGAACAAAAGAGCTAGTAGTCCCCGCACTTCCAAATCTCACAGAATCCAAAAGAATGAGAGAGAAGGAGAGAAATTTATAAAATGGGGACCAATGCCCACTCTGAAACATAACTGTACACTTAACCTGAAATTAGAATTCACCATTGTGAGTCAACCTTCGGCAATCTCAAGCACACAGATCGATGCAACTCTAGAGAGGTTAAACAACAAAATAAGGGTTTATATATCCACATGATTTCTACAAATAAAATTTGCTGTTTTATCAATTTGATTTGTAAAAAGCATGCATCCATACATTCAAGTTTCAGAAGATGTGCATGATTCTAATCATGTGCCCAAATTCTGTCATATGATTATTGTACGATAAGACATCACATCAGGTAGGCAGAAGACAAAAGAAAAGAGATAAAAAGAATGAACCGACAAACGTATAGACCTAGTTTAGCAGAGGTTAAGGGTTCAAACCTTCAAATTCGTCCAATATACAAATCAATGTTCTGGAACTCGTGTTGAGCCTCGGACTCGGCCCTTGCGCAAGCCAACTTACTCGGATGAGTGGGAGTGGATTCAGCCAAGTAGTGTACAGGGGCAAAAAGCCCTAAAAAAATAAAAATATAAAAGATTAAAAATAAAAAATAAAAAATAAAAAATAAAAAAATCAAACATAAAAAGTTCAAATAAGCTGAAAAAAAAATAATCAAACATGGATTCATAAAAGAAAGATTCACAGTTGGAGACGTTTTAGAAAAAACTAAATACAGAGGAAAATATGAAAATAGGCATAGCACAAGAAAAACTCTCAAAATATTGTCAAAAAACTCTAAATTACATATAAATATTTATATGTTGATTCCACCATTTACTATTATTTTGACTTTTATTTTCAATTAACCTGAGTATTCAGCTCGGCAAGTGGCCGAGTCCAAGTGGACTCGAATGAGTTTCTGAACATCGATACAAATCAACTAAATCACCTCTTTTAATTTTCCATAAAAACCTTGATATTTCATTCTCATTCTCTATGAATGTTTGGAATCGATACAGCATGCCACTAATTAGGGAAATGCATAAATTGAACCCTTCCTCTTCCAAAAGGAAAGGTAAAGAGTGAAGAGCAGGAAATTTGTAGCAGCAGATCTGCTTTTATTTCATTATTTTCTTCCCACCCACTAAATGTTATATATGCATTATACATGTTTTTTGGGCAGTCATGTACTACTTTTCTTCCCATCCGCTAAATGGTATGTACACATTATACATTTTTTTTGTGTAGTCATGTACGTGTTATAGATTACTTTATGATTAAAACATGGGTGGGGGCTGACACCTCAGATTACTTACCAAAAACAAAAACGAAATATGATACCACTGAATCACTAATTTGATTAGAAAAGAAGAGGAACATGCTAAATCCAACTAACATTTTATACGAAATCCAAATCAAGGGCAGCTAAGTGGCTATGGAGTTATCCAATAATTTGGAGCTGCCTCCCCAGACCTAGGCCCACTGATAGTCAAAAAGAAAGACTGCACAATTGACCCAATATGGAATCCTATTCTTAAATGCACATTTATCAAGAACCTTGCCGACAATAATGTTGATGGACAGATCTTATGCTATGATGAAAGGTTACAGTTGTGGACACAGGTAGAACAACAGTTATTGTGATTTTATGCAGGTTTTTGAAGCATCCAACATGGATACAGCTCCTGTCATGAAGTACCTGTCTATCATAGATATCCATTATTAAATTAAGGTGCTATATTCAAGTTCCAAATTGAGAAATAAAATATTAGAAATGCCAGCGATTTGAACATATGGAATCAATTCAAAAGTTAATAAAAAGTCACATGCACAACTAGAATGAAAGACAGTATGAAGAAACCCAAGAACTCAAGCCAAGAGTTCAACTTAAACAGTCTTATTTTCAGAGATTAACATGCAAAACATGAGAAGCCTATAAAAGCTAAGTCGACCCAAATTCCAACTGTTATCTTATTAAAAACACGGCTAGAATAGAAGATCAAGTTTGCCTTATATAACTTCCAAGGAATGAGAATCATATGTCTAACTTCACAGCTTCTAAATAGACATTCTTCATCATCATCATCCGAATCGTATTACAACTATTTGGGGTCAGCTACACGGATCCTCTTCCGCTATTCTACTCTATGAAGGGCCATACCTTTAATCACACCATAAGTTGCCAATCTTTTCTCATTGATTTCCGTCCATGTGCTTTAGGGCCTTCTCCTTGCCCTTTTAGAGCAATCCGCTTAAACCAAATCATCTCTCCTAACCAATATTGTTCTAGGTCGACGTTGCACATGACCAGACTGCTTAAGTCTACTTTCCCTCATTTTATCGCTTATTGGAGCTACTCATAAATTCTATTGAATGTATTTATTTTGAGTTTTATCCTTCCTTTTCTTGTCATTAATTCATTTCAATGACCTCATCTTAGCTATACTCATTCTATAAATATGTTGTCTCTTGACTCCCCAACATTCTGTCCCATAAAGCATGATTTGCAGTACAGTCATCCTATATAACTTTTCCCTTTAGTTGCATTAGTATGCGACAATGAGATGAGACTCCAGAAGCACATCTCCCTTTCGTCCACCCAACTCTAATCTTATGAACAACATCTTCCTCAATCTTTGTATTCTCATAGATTGTTAACTCAATATACTGAAAAGCAATCTCTAAACTTGCATTTCATATATCTTGGCTTAGTCCAGCTAATTTTAAAATCTTTAGATTCTAAAGCATCCCTCCAGAGTTCTAACAATCTCTAAACTTGCATTTTATATATCTTGGCTTAGTCCAGCTAATTTTAAAACCTTTAGATTCTAAAGCATCCCTCCAGAGTTCTAACTTTGCGTTTACACTGTCTCTAGCCTCATCCATCAAAACTATCTCATCTGCAAATAACATAAACCATGGGACCTTACCTTATAGATGCCTAATCTCATCCATAGCCGTTCTAAAATAGACATTAAAAACAAAAACATAGCATTTTACAAGGTTATTAGGATAGATCGGTAATCTAAAGTTCCAAACAAATTAAAGTTCTTAAAAGGTGCTAAATTTCTTTGTTTAGAAGAATAGGAGAAGGAATTAGAGCTAAACAGACCAGGTGACGATCCTGATCAGCAAAGATGCATTGTTATCAGCCAAAATGACACCCACAAGAAGATGGTAATTTCAAAATCCATGCTCCATTCAATAAACGTATATTCCAAACTTACAAAACAATGTTTATAGTAATAAATTTAAAAAATCTAGAAGGCACTAATTGGAAATAAACTGAGAGAGAGTAGACTTAGGTGGGTTAGCTATGTGTGACGCTGACCAAGTACAACACCAGTTAGGAAGCGCGAGTGAGTTCAAGTGGATGGACTGAAAAGGTAAAAGGGTAGACCCAAAAGGACATGGTTGGAAATAGTCCAAAAAGGTATGGCCTCACTGAGATGTGGCACAATGGGGAACCGGGATTCAGGTAGCCGACCCCAATTAATTGAGAAAAGGCTAAAATAATGGTGATGATGAAGATTTAAAAAATCTAGAAGTTAATACTTCAAATTTGACAAGAGCATATAGCAGTTCAATCAAAACTGCAAAGACAATGAGAACCCACAAAATGAAATGCCGACTGTAAGGATAAAAACAAGAATTATATCACATCTTGCTCTCAAATAGATGAATTAGTGAGCACAAATTAACACACAAAATAGTTCACAAATTCCATTGCCATATAAAAAATAGATCTATTCATGCATTTAGCGATCAAGTTAAGCAAAAAAGGAATGGAACAGAATGAAATAACTCATGCCTTAAACCACCATGTTTGACAGAACAGAAGCAGAGCAATAGACGAATAGAACAAAAGTAGAGAGAGGAGAAGTTTTTTGGGATCAAATATAGATCTCAACTCAAAAGGCTCCCAAAAATGAAGTTACGACAAGAAACAATACGCAGGTTCTAACTCTTTCCATTGGTATGTAGAAGAGGAAGTTGCAATAAGAATGAATATGCAGGTTCTCTATCTTCGCATGGTGTTTAGAAGAATCACTTACAGAGTTATGATAGGCGCAACTGCAGTCGAGAGCGGTGAATCAGCTCGATCAATGAGAGAGAGAGAGAGAGAGAGAGAGAGAGGGGCTGGTGCAGAGGGAGAAAGAGCATAAACGAATTTGGTAGAGAGAGAAAGAGGAATTTGACGAGAGAGAGGGTGTGATGTCATCCTCACAATGTTACTTGTCAGAAATGTGGCACGCATCCCGTGGTGAAAAGGGGCCCGCATACGAGGGAGAGTGAAGGGAGTGGGAGTATATGATACATTGTTCCCAAACCGTTAAAAAAGGCCGATTGGTTACTCGAATACGTTACTCGAGCACGTCACACCAGTGGCGTCAAAGACGCGTCGGTAGCTTGGATCCGACACCCTAAAAATTTACGAAGATTGGTAAATCGGCGATTCAGATTGAGAATCGGTCGAATCGATTGAATTAAGCTTTTAAATAAATAAATAAAAATTATTACCATTGATTATAAATGTTGGTTTTTAAAAATCCAATAAAAAATCGGGATATTGTATTATTAATTTTCATTTTTTTCATCAATATGTGAATATTGAGATATTTTTTCTCTACATGAATTTATTTTAACTATGAAATTACATCACATAAAATAAAAATCGTAGAACTATCATGGATGAAGTATATAATCATACATGGACTACAATAAAGAATGATTTTTTTATAAAAACATTTTAGTTTTTTTGACAAAAACCTTTTATTTTTTTACAAAAAATTTTTGTCGTATTACATTTTTTTTTTTTTTTAACTAGAACCTTTTTTTGACAAAAAAATACTTGTATTATTTTTTTTTTATAAGAACTTTTTTTTTTTTACAATAACTTTTTATTTTTTTGACAAAAGCCTTTTATTTTTTTGACCAAAAAATAGAAATTTGACAAGAAAAATAATTGATAAGAACCTTTCATTCTTTTTTTTATAATAAAATTTTTATTTTATTAATAAAAAAAATTTGACAAAAGAAAATTGATAAAAAAAACCTTTCATTTTTTTGATAAGAAAAAAATTTGACAAAAAGTGAAATTGATAAAAAAAGTTTCATTTTTTTTCTTATGACAAAAATACTTGTTGTATTATTATTTTTTTATAAGAACTTTTTTTTTTTGACATTAACTTTTTATTACTTTTTTTTTTTTGAAAATTTTTTTTTTACTTTTTTGACAAAAAAAAGAAATTTGACAAGAGACATAATTGATAAGAACCTTTCATTTTTTTTTTATAAGAAAATTTTTATTTTATTGATAAGAAAAAAATTTGACAAAATACGAAATTGATAAAAAAATCTTTCATTTTTTTTATAATAAAAAAATTTGACACAAAGCGAAATTGATAAAAAAACCTTTCATTTTTTTTATAAGAAAAACTTTTGACCTCAAAAACATAAAATTGACAAGAAAAAAATTTATAAGAAAAAAATTTGACCTCAAAAAAATAAAATTGACAAGAAAAATAGTTGATAACCAGTACTACACATGCTACTTAGTAATATTAAAAGCGTAAACAAAATATATAATATATTAATGTTTCAAGTTAATACCTTTATATTATCCCACATCGAAGAGGTAGAAGGAAGTTGTAGTGAATAAATACCTCTTTGTAGTTAATGAGGATAACGCGTGCAAAGTGCGGAGAGTCACGTGACGAGGTGTACAGACCTTAACGTACGTGTACTTTTGCCCATAATTTATAAAAATGCCTATTGAAGAATCGGCGGGTCATAATTTACAAAAATGCCTATTGCCTATAATTTATATTTTACGAAAATGCCTATTGCCCATAATTTATAAAAATGCCTATTGAAGAATCGGTGGGCCATAATTTACAAAAATACCTATTGAAGAATCGGCGGGCCATGACGTTGAAAATAATTTACAAAAATGCCCATTGAAGAACTTATTGAAGAATCGGCGGGCCATGACGTTGAAAATTTTTTACAAAAATGCCCATTGAAGAATCGACGGGCCATGACGTTGAAAAAAATTTACAAAAATGCCCATTGAAGAATCGGCGGGCCATGAATCGGGAGAATCATGACGTCACATGGCGATTTACGGCATGAAATCGCTTGTTCTAGAGCTATTGAAGAATCAGCAGGCCATGACGTTGAAAATTTTTTACAAGAATGCCCATTGAAGAATCGGCGGGCCATGATTCCATAATTTATAAAAATGCCTATTGAAGAATCGACGGGCCATGACATTGAAAAAAATTTACAAAAATGCCCATTGAAGAGTAGGTAGCATATGCCGATTGAAGAATCGGCAAAATGCCCATTGAAGAATCGACGGCATATGCCTATTGAATAATCGGTGGGCCATGACGTTGAAATTTTTACAAAATAGCCCATTGAAGAATCGGCGGGCCATGAATCGGGAGAATCATGATGTCACATGGCGATTTAAGGTATGAAATCGTCGGTCTAGAGCTATTGAAGAATCGGCGGGCCATGACGTTGAAATTTTTTACAAAAATGCCCATTGAAGAATCGGCGGGCCATGATAAAATGCCTATTGCCCATAATTTATAGTTTACAAAAATGCCTATTGCCCATAATTTACCTATTGAAGAATCGGCGGGCCATAATTTACAAAAATGCCTATTGAAGAATCGGTGGGCCATGACGTTGAAAAAAATTTACAAAGATGCCCATTGAAGAATCGACAAAATGGCCATTGAAGAATCGGTGGCATATGCTTATTGAAGAGTCGGCGGGCCATGACGTTGAAAAAAATTTACAAAAATGCCCATTGAAGAATTGGCGGGCCATGAATCAAGAGAATCATGACGTCACATGGCGACTTACGGCATGAAATCGCCGGTTCTAGAGCTATTGAAGAATCGACGGGCCATGACGTTGAAAAAAATTTACAAAAATGCCCATTGAAGAATCGACGGGCCATGAATCGGGAGAATCATGACGTCACATGGCGATTTACGGCATGGAATCGCCAGTTCTTCTCTAGAACCGGGAGATTTCCGGTATTTCACTGGAACCGGATCGGGTCTGCTGGTTCCCGAGTTGAATCGAATGAATCCGGTTCGACTCGCCGACTTTTGAATCACTGCATCACACACATACCAGTGTGGAATTGGAGAATATCGGATTCACACATACCAATGTGGAATTGGAGAATATCGGATTGACAGAGTCGATCATTTTTGTTTCAATTTTTTTTCAAAAAACACTCTAAATCTCTAAAAATAATGTTATTTTAGTTTCTAAAAGAAATTAAGATTATTTTCATTGTTTTATAAAAATAGAAGAATACTAAGATGCTATTTTACTGTCTAAATGTATAATTAATAAATAAAATATAATATTTAGTTATCAATATATAATTATTAATTATAATAAACATGATTCAAGAATTTCTATATGACAACTTAACACAATTTAGAATTATACCAAATTTTTATCATTGTATATATAATAACAAATTAACAATAAATTATTTGTTAATGGCCATGAAAGTTAAAATATATTATTTAAAAATACAATCTAGACGAAATATGAAATAACATAATCTATATGACAATAATAATGTATTAAAATATGTGATGTTTTAATGTAGTTATACAATACAAATTTAAATATAGCAATCACAATTTTAACATAATTATATTAAATTAATTAACATTTTTATATAATTATATTGATTCAACATAATAATATTCAATTAATTTTGTTGTAATCATATTCATGTAACTAAAATTATTACTATAGAGAGACGCTCAAGTATTTGGGCGGGGGTGTAATATAAACAAAATTCAGAAATTGTAACAATATATGAAAGTAACAAGATAGGCAAGCGCATATTGCATATAACTATCACTTGTTAATTTTGTTTCCGTCACCGAACTGCTTTTTCTAACAATATTTACATAATTATATTAATTCAACATAATAATATTAATAGCATTTTAATGTATTCATATTCACATAATTATAGTGACATAAGTTTAACATAAGTATATTGAGTTATTAGCATAAATAACAACAATTTCATATAATTATATTAATTCTTGTAAATTTATTATGTGTAATTCGTTTTCTGTTTTTATGTGTAAATCAAACTTAGTTATATGTACTTTATTTTTATAAATTATATAAAAATAAAAATAGATATAAAAAATTTATTTATAAAAAATAAAAAATAATAGTATCACATCAAACATTTACTAATTATCTTTACTCGTCTAAAATTATCACTACTTAACTAACTAAAATATAATACCTTGAAATTGAAATTATCGGTTTACATTTTATAATCATTTACTAAGCAAATAAAAACAAATTTGAAATTTGTCTTATAATATCATCTAATTTAAAAATCTATTTTATGACTATAACAAAACATAATATATTATCTAATTTATAATATAAATAATATTCATAAATAATATATAAAATTGGTTATTAATGTAATCTGTTTAATAATATTATATAATTTATAATATAAATAATATATAAAATTTGGTTATTAATGTGAATAGTATAATTATTAATTATAATATTACTATAATATTTTAAACACACGCATCTTTGTTTAAAAGAAAGTTTGCACCCGCAAAGTGCCTTTATACTTAATAAGTTTGCACGTCTTAATAGGCGAGCACAAATTATGACACCTTGCATAAAATAATTTAGAAAGTGGAGGATAATAGTTCTAACGCATAAAATAAGAAAGATATTATCATATATTAGTTTCTTATTTGAATTAATTGATAGGAAAATGGTTTAGAAAGTGGGGTATAATGGTTGGAACACCTCCATATGGTATTAATGACCTATATATGAAATGGCCGGCCCATATCTTTCACCCCAAGTCACTCAATATCAATGGTGCATATTGAATATCAAATGAAGAGACAAGCAATGGAAAACCTTAAAATCATTGATGCACTATTAAAGACATACCATACCCAATATTTTCTATACCATAATCTTATACCTAAAATCTCTCTTCTCTCTCCCATAGAAAAAGGAAGGGGCACACCCCTAGCAAGAATTCTCCCTCTCTAGTTTGTAAAAAAGGGGTGTGCCCCATATCTTGAGACTCTCTCTCTTGGAAAGAGTTATCTCTCCCTTGTGCAAATTAGGAGACATGTCCCA